ACTCAAATTTATAATTATATAATAGACCCGGGGGGGCACTCTATAAAAAAACTAATATAGTTAAATTAGAAAAGATAATACATAAAATCAAAATACAGTAAATTTAAAGTAAATAATTATTTGTAAGATAAAATCATTATAGTAAACTAATTTCTCTATCAAGAAATAAAAAAATTCACTTTTTTTTTTATAGAAATAAGAGGTAATTGATGATTTTGTGCTTATATTACTCATTTTATATATAAATCTATCCTGAAAGGGCAAACAAAGATATAATAAAAAAGATATTCCTCAATAAAAGAACTATTAAAATGGAACAATTTTTGAGATGAAAGTAGCCAGTAAGCTGCATGCAAATGCAGCACATTGGAACCAATGATACAGTTCACCACAGGTACTAGATCTGCTGCGGGCTGTATGTCTCACCCGTCATACATCAAGCCACACGCTGAATTCCCTGATATAAGACAAAATATTCACTGTAGCTTCTGTCATATCCGCTTTTATCCCATGTTAACCCAAACCCTTTTATCTCAATAATCTAATTAACTTAACCCTCTATTGCCCTGGTGGGCTGACAATCGTCATCCTCAACCCCGCCTCCTCCAGCATCCTTTTTGTCCGCTCCCACGGCACACCAAAAAGCCCCGCATTAAATCTACATCCCCATAGCTGCCCTGGTTGCCCCTCTCCTGCCATCTCCGCAACAGTAGCGGAAAAAGTAGCAAGCTGTCTTTTCAGATCAGCAACAGCAAGCTCTGTATTGGCCAAAATGAGATCTGGTGGACTCCTGTTCTGCGGGCCATAGTGCCACGACGTAAAGAGGCAGATGATCCAATGCTTTTTCCCCGCTGGAGGTGGTCTTGGACCTCTGGAACTATTTAGTCTCCCGCGTCGCCGTCCTCGCTCACCTCCGCGCCCACGACTGACACTGCTGGGGCCAAGTTGGAAATGTGATTGCAGGTGAGACCGCGGCTGCGGGCGCGGCTGGTAGTCTGCTGGCTGTGGTGAGATTTACCAGGGCTGTGCCTTCAGGTAATTTGACAGTGCGAGGTTGTTGGCGATCGGCGTTTGGTCCTGTGCCGGGAATGGGCTGTGTTTGTATTTGTGGATTGGCCAAGTATTGTTGACAGTGGGCGCGGAAGATGCGGTAAGCGGCTGGGTACTACGCAGTGTGTATTAGATATGGCCACCTAAAAGTAGGAGGAGTCTTCATAGATATACATGTAGATATAAATATAGCTATATATTTATCAACTAAATGCATACTTTTTCCCTAAAACCCTGGGCAACCCCTTTGCCCCATGACCCTTGACAATTGCACGCGTCTATTCGTATTTGCGTAAAGTTAGCAGGAGTCAACATAACAATACACCATAAGGCAAAACTTGGCAAAGGAATATAAGAAACCAAAAAGCATATGAAAAGTGTTAAAAAGACTCATACGAATCAAAGAAACCCCCTCCGGTGCGTCGAAGAGATCACCTTGGATTTCAGTGATGGGTGTCATTGTACTTGTTGAATTCAGTCAAATTGAAACGCTTCCTTTGGTTTTACACTGCCGTTTTAAAAGTGGACGAAGTGGAGAACTAGAAAATGTATGAGATTGAAACAATAGAAAAGGGTTATCTG